AAACCCAGATCCCGATCCTCACTCCGCCACGGAAGGTCACTGGGTGATCTTGGCCAGTCACATGTTCTCAGCCTAACCTACCTCGCAGGGTTGTTGTGAGGATAAAACGGCGGCGAGGAGAACAGCACAAGCCGGTTTTGGGTTCCCATTCAGGAGAATGGCGAGGGCATAAATGAAGTAAGCAAATACATAAAACATGCCCTGGAGAACCCCCCTCCAGCTGAAGGGTCTTGGCTGGGCTAGGGAAGGCTGCAGTCTTGGAAAGACAGCTCCACTTCTGTTTAAGCAGCATTAGTCAACATGGAATTGGCCGGCCTCGATATATGGGAATCAGCAAATTCTTTCCATACTCGTGATCTTATCGTTTTTGCCTCTAGCTATCTGTGTTCGGAGCCTTTCTGTGTCACCAGAGACAACATTCAATGCAAATAACATAAAATTAGGACCCACATACTCCGAGGCACCATCGTTTTTGCCTCTAGCTATCTGTGTTCTGAGCCTTTCTGTGTCACCAGAGACACAATTCAATGCAAATAACATAAAATTAGGACTCACATACTCCGAGGCATCGAAGGAGGGGTGGCCAGAATTTGTGCAGCCATAATTGTTGTAATATCCATGTTAGAAATGCAACTTTGTTATGCTAAAGGCAGCGGGGGCTTTAAAAGCCTTGTGAATACCTGCTAGAAAACTAGCCCGGTCTTGTCAGATCTCGGTAGTCTGAGCAGGGTCGGCCCCGGTTAGCGCTTGGATGGGAGACCACCAAGGAGACCTAGGGCTGCTACGCAGAGGCAGGCAATGGCAAACCACCTCTGTTAGTCTCTTGCTTTCAAAAACCCTATGGGGCTGCCGTAAGTCGGTTGTGCCTTGGCAGCACTTTGTTGATAAGAACATAAGAGACGCCAATGTTGGATCAGGCCAAAGGCCCATCCAGCCCAACACTCTGTGTCACACAGTGGCCAGAAATTACCAGGTGCCATCAGGAGGTCCACCAGTGGGGCCAGGACATTAGAAGCCCTCCCACTGTTGACCCCCCCCCCCAAGCACCAAGAAGACAGAGCATCACTTGCCCCAGAGCCCCTATCTATCCCTTGTGGCTAATAGCCACTGATGGACCGGGTACACACACACACTCTCTCTCTCCCTCTTTCTCGCTCTCACCCCACAGGTGTTTCCAGGTGGAGACTCCCTGACACCATTTCAGGTTAGGGAAATGGCACAACAGAGGCAACTTAACTTCCCTTTTGTTAACCTCATGGTCCCAAGTGAAACTGAGCCCCTTGTGAGCCTGACAACTGCATTTAAAAAACCAACAACTAAGTTTTTGGTCCTGATAAAGTCGCCACACAATAATAACAGCCTTTAATACGCTCAACCTTGTTTTCTCCAGAAATCAACCGCCCTTCTGATCCCGGCCCTTGTTCAGTCCAACGGCTACTGTTCCTTCCTGGGCTCTCTCCTGAGAACTAATGCTTGTACATTACGGCATCTTTTAAAATAACGTTTTTTGACCATCAGAAAAGGAATTTTATTTAACGACACCAAGACAGCTAACCGCTTCTCCAGTCGACCAAGGCGAGTAAACTCCAGTGGGTGATGGATTCCTGCCACGGCGGGTCTGAAGTTGAGGAGAAAACAAGAGGGGGGGGGGGAGAAGAATGAGGAAACGAAGGGGACAAATGCAACGGGATAGGAGGCTTCATATTTCATTGGCCGAGTGAGCAGCTGAGGAACTCGATCTGGCCGGCAGACTCTAGAAAGCATGAGAGAGCGTGGCTAAGAAAGAATGTGGGGAGTGGCCCACTGGCTGCCGGGTTCCTTCCCCCCTTCCCGTCCTCTTGCATGTGGCTCTCCACCCTTCCCTTTGCAAAGCTAACCGTACTGCAGCCTTACGAACCAGAAAACGCGGGCCTTTTCCTAAAGCAACGAGACACAGGATGTCCAAAGGTGGATTTTGTTCCCAGGACCAAAATGTCGAGGCTTGCCCCCCGTGTGTTGATCATGAAATCACCGTGTAAAGGTAAAGGTTCCCTTGCTCGAAAGCCAGTCGAATCCGACTCTAGGGTTGCGGTGCTCATCTCAGTTTCAAAGCCGAAGAGCCAGCGCTGTCCGAAGACGTTTCCGTGGTCATGTGGCCGGCATGACTAAACACCAAGGCGCACGGAACGCTGTTACCTTCCCACCGAAGTGGTACGTGTTTATCTACTTGCAATTTCTTGCTTTCGAACTGCTAGGTTGGCAGGAGCTGGGACCAGAGATGGGAGCTCACTCCGTCATGGATGGCAACCCGGGTCTCGAACTGTTGAACTACCCACCTTCCACAGCCTGCAGTTCAGCGTCTTAACCACTTGAGCCACCGCAGCTCCTATCACCGTAGCCATTGACAATTTGTCAGGAGGAGGCAGAGTGAAGAATGGATCTGCATTTCCCTCAAGACTATCTCCCGTTCCTTCCCATGGCGACCTAGTGTGCCCAGGAGGATTCTGGTTATGTTCTAGGGTGCAGACTCCATTCACGGTCAGGCCTGTTAGGCCTCATTGTTGCCCCCACTTGAACTGGGAGGGTGGCCGAGAACACACCCAACCGCATTACCCTGCAGCTGAGCGCTCCAGGGGAAGGCCAAGGCAAGTTGTCTTGCAGAGAACCTGATCTGTTATTAGTGCCCCTTATCTTTGAGGAACCTTTCGTAACCTGGGCAGAAATCCCCAGGGTCCCCTGCAACACAGCTGGGAAACCCCTGATCTAGATGAACAAAATGGGTTGTTAAACAGAGGCCATGTGACATATGCCTTGGGAAAGGAACGCACGAAGCTGCCTTATATTGAATCTCATCCCCTGGGCCTCTCCGTAATGATCCTTATTTGGACTGAGCCGTGTTGGTCTGAAGCAACAGAACAACGCACACGAAAGCTTATACCCAGAATTAAACTTTGTTGGTCTTAAAAGTGCCACTGGACTCAGACTTTGGGTTTTTTTGACTGGCAGAAGCACAGGTCTTTCATGTCCCTGGCTACTTGATCCTTTTAACTGGGGTCTCTGGCAATGCTCCCTCTAAGCTGCGGAGTCTCGTGAGCAAACAGTCTACTTTGTGAGCTACTGGCATTAAAGTTGAGAGCGAGCGATTGGGCTGCTGCATATAAATTAGTTTGCTCTGGAGCCATTCCTTCCTGAGCGAGGACAAAAATGTGTGAGCCAGAGGCTAAAAAACTGTGAGCTAGCTCACACTGACTCAGCTTAGAGGGAACACTGGTCTCTGGGACTCTCTACTGCTGAGCCATTCCCACCACCACCACCACCGGGCCCACCCTGATCCTAATCACGAGTTTCTTGGGGTTATCAAAATTAATAATAGGAGAGGAACTCTGATCAGTGCTGCAGTGCTCAGGCCATAACCATCCTTCCCTTCCCCAACCATCCCCCCCACCCCACCCCAATTTAAATGGTCCCTCTCCTTCCCAGACTGGAATTTGCCCTGAGAATAAAAAAATCTACAGATGACTGTTAACAATGTTTAATGAACAAGGGAGATCCTAATTACAATTCCCAGTCTTGCTTAGCCCTTGTAACAGGAAGAATGTAATTCTAGGCTGCGTGGGTGAAATTGTATTTGTGCAGCGGGACAGGATGGTTTATCTTACCCAATGAGTGTTAGGTTCAAGATTCTTGAAATTCACAGGCACCTAGGAGAGACAGCAGAAGTGGAATGGTTATTATAGCAGGAATTTCCAGCCTTTCGGGTGTGTCTCTGGCCTCAGGAATCCAGATGATTATTTAGTTAGCCTGGTGTAGTCTTTGAACACAGTCACAAACAACACAAGGACCTCTGATGTCATCATCCTTCGGTCTAGACCGAAGCAATGGGTTCCGACTGGAAGGAACTGCACAGTAAATGTCAGGTCTTAGAAGCCAAGCAGGGTCAGCCCTCAGCATTTGGCTGGGAGACTTTCAAGGAGTTTCAGGGTCACTACGCAGAGGCAGGCAATGGCAAACCACCTTTGTTAGTCTGTTGCCTTGAAACCCTTACAGGGTTGCCATAAGTTTTGATTGATTAAATTTGATTTTCAACTGCCCTCCCCCGAAAGGACAGGGCTCAGGCCGCTTTACAACACCGTATGAGTCAAGTTACCATAGTATGGGTCAGCTGTGACTTGGAGCCGCTTTACGCATACAAACAAGGAACATCCTGAAATGAGGACGTCGGGCAAACACAGCTTTTTTGTCTAGTACTGAAGAGCTGCTGCTTTCAGCAGAGAAAGGGAAGACTTTTTGAAGTCAAGAGGAGGAGGAGGAGGAGATTGGATTTATACCCCACCCTTCACTACCCAAAGGAGTCTCAAGAGTGGCTTACAATCGCCTTTCCCTTCCCCTCCCCACAACAGACACCCTGTGAGGTAGGCGGGGCTGAGAGGGCTCTCGAGAACAGCTCTGAAATAACTTGTGACTGACCCAAGGTCACACCAGCAGCTGCATGTAGAGGAGCGGAGAATCAAACCCAGTTCTCCCAGATTAGAGTCTGCACTCTTAACCACAACACCAAACCTGGCTTAGGTTGTATGGAAAGCATCTGAGCAAAGCCCTCTCTTCCAGGCTTGTTTGATGAGATTGGAGTAGATTACTGGACATTCACATGACCGTTTGGTACGTGGTTGGCCAATGCATGTTCTGCCTTCCCAAATTCAAGGGAGTTTGTAGTAAATATACTTGTTTAACCATGGTCGGTGAGTATCTTCAGAAAGGGCTGTGAGCAAGGCTGTTTGAAGGCCTCCCTCAACCTCTACCTGTCCTAGGGCCGGCCAGCCACCCACCTGCCTGAAGGTTTCCCGTTGACACGACTGCTGCTTTCCCCACCTTCCTTTTTAGCTTAGGGAGGAGAGGGGGGCAGATGGTACCACCCTTCCAGTGGCTACATTGGGCCCCGGGGTCATCAAGCGCTGGCTGCTGGTTGTAGGAGCATTCTAACACGAAGGCACCATGGAATTCACCAGGCAACTTTGAAAGGTCTACCGTGGGCTTCTGCACCAAGGGAACAGTGCTGGGCCGTACACTGGTACCTTGTCAGCAGAGAACAACTCCGTCTGCATGTGGGGCCGGCCTGTAGGGTTGGATTTAGAAGCAATCATCCCTCAGGATTCTACCACTGCAAAATGTAGAGGGTGGGGAGAACCCCATATTCTAAACTAGGCTGGCCAGCTGTAACAATCAGGAATCCATTTCGTGGTTTATATTAGTTCCAGGATACTAGATTCTGGAGAAGATCCAGTCCAGGTTTTATTCACATCTGGAGATAAACGAGCTAGACTAGAACTGCTCTGGGAGGCCTTGCATTCCTTCCTTCATTTTATCCGGAGTAAAATTATTAGATGCTTATTAAAGAGACCATGAGCGTCTTCCTGGATGTTTGCAGTGTCTCACACCAGCCTCCGGTGGGACCTGGAGATCTCTGGGAATGACAGCTGGTCTCAGGATGACAGAGATCACTTCCTCTAGAGAAAACGGCTGCTTTGGAGGGGGCAGGGCAATCAAAGACGAGTCTTGTCTGCCAGGATGGCTGTCCTCAAGCAGAGTGAAGAAGAGTTTGGGTTTATACCCCACCCTTCACTCGGAGTCTCAGAGCGGCTTACAATCTCCTTTCCCTTCCCCTCCCCACAACAGACGCCCTGTGAGGTAGGTGGGGCCGAGAGAGCTCTGACAGAAACTGCCCTTTCAAGGACAGCGCTTGTCAGAACTATGGCTTGCCCAAGGTCATCCAGCAGCTGTGTGTGGAGGAGTGGGGAATCACACCCGGTTCTCCCAGATTAGAGTCTGTGCACTTAACCACTACACCAGACTGGCTTGAGATTGCGCCATACTCAGTAACTGTGTATGGAGGTAGATTTACTGCAAGAATTTGTAATGGAGACCCAACACATTGTGAGCTATGTACAGCTTTAATTTCTTTGGCCCATTTGTATACCCCACCTTTCTACGTGCACAGTCGGGACCCAAGATGGGTGGGAAATGGTAAATAAAATAAGAAAATATTAATATTGAAATTAATTAAAATCACTGATAAAACAGATAACTAAAAAGTAATTAAAGGAGATAATCAAAACAGTTAATTAAACCAAGCCCATTTAAATTGCCCCATAAGCTCCTTTAAACAATTCTGTCTTATAGCTTTCCTGGAAGGCCTCAAAGGGAGGTGCCTGCCTCACCCCTTTCGGGAGACTATCCCATAACAGTGGAGCAGCAACAGAAAGGCCTGGACATAAGAACATAAGAAGAGCACTCCTGGATCAGACCAATAGTCCGTCTAGTCCAGCTTCCTGTCTCACAGAGTGGCCAACCAGTTCCTCTCGAAGTCCAACAACTGGGCATAGAGACTGAGGCAATCCCCTGATGTTGCCTCCTGGCTCTGGGATTCAGAGGATTAGTGCCTCTGAATGTGGATGTTTGAGGAGGCTAGTAGTAACCATTGATAGACTTATCCTCTGTGAACCTCTCTAATCCCCTTTTAAAGCTGTTTATTCCTGTGGCCATCGCTACGTCCTCTGGCAGCAAATTCCACATTTGAATCACTCTCTGTGTAAGGTGGTATTTTCTTTTGTCCATCCTGAACCCACTGCCCATCAGCTTCAGTGGATGCCCTTAAGTTCTAGTATTTTTGGGAGAGGGAGAAAAATTTCTCTTTGTCAGCACTCCGTGCGTAATTTTATAAACCTCTGTCATGTTCCCCATTAGCCATCTCTTTCCTAAACAGAAAAGTCCCAGACCCATCAACCTTTCCTCATAAGGAAGGCGTTCCAACCCCCTAATCGTCTTGGTTGCAAATAATGGAGACAGAAAGCCCAAAAGCTTGATGAAATGGCATTGATCCAACAGAGATAGATCAGGATGGGTAGCTGCGTTAGTCTGTCTGTAGCAGCACAAAAGAGCAAGAGTCCAGTAGCACCTTAAAGACTAACATATTTTGTTAGTCTTTAAGGTGCTACTGGACTCTTGTTCTTTTCTGCTGATCCAACAGGTAAACTAAATATAAATGACCACGTAATTGCTTTACCTGTTGGACTGATACCTTTTCTTTAAACTTTAGAAGCTTGATGCAGGGGTGATCAGTCATTTATATCTTTCAGGCTACATATGCATATTGGTTGAGGACATCTTGTTTCATTGTATCTGAAGAAGTGTGCCTGGCCACAAAAGCTTATACTTTTCATAAAACAGTGTTGGTCTTAAAGGTGCCGCTGGACTCAAACTTTGTTCTTTTTTTATATCAGTTATTCATTTCGATGCATTAAAGTCCGAGTAAATGTTATCTGCCATTACGTTCATCTGACATTATGTTTGCTTTTCCGTGGCACAGCATCATGCATGGAGTTTCCAGATATTCCCGCAATAAATCTACCTTTTCACTCAGACTAAATCTGTGCTGCACAATCTGTGTAGGACTATACCTATATTGGCTCTGACAATGGGGATGATGGTGGGGAAGCATCTTACCTTCTGTAGCCAGATCAGCACTCTGCTCCGTAAGCAAGTAGATCCATGACCGGGGAACACACTGGCCTGTCTTCCTGGAAAAGTGATGGGAAAATTAAATGTGGGTATATATGTATTTATTTACAAAGAGCCAAGTTGGTGTAGTGGTTAGGAGCGCAGACTCTAATCTGGGAGAACCGGGTTTGATTCCCCACGCCTCCACATGCAGCTGCTGGTGTGACCTTGGGTCAGTCATAAGTTCTCTCACAGCTGTTCTCTCAAGGGCAGTTCTCGAGAGAGCTCTCTCAGCCCCACCTACCTCACAGGGTGTCTGTGGTGGGGAGGGGAAGGAAAAGGAGGTTGTAAGCCGCTCTGAGACACCTTTGGGTAGTGAAAGGTGGGGTATAAATCCAATCTCTTCTCTTCTTCTCCTCTCAGACTTCTAGACCGCTTGCCCCCTCATCAAAGGTGAGCTGAAGGCATTTTAAACATAAAAAAGCCAACAGAAACTTATTTCCTCAGTGACACAGGCATACATGACATTTATTTGTTTCATTTATACCCCACCTTTCTCTCCAGCAGGGATTCAAAGTGACTTACAACATTCTCCCCTTCTCCACTTTGGTGTCGTGGTTAAGTGCGCGGACTCTAATCTGGGAGAACCGAGTTTTATTCCCCACGCCTCCACTTGCACCTGGCTGGATGATCCTGGGCAAGCCGTAGTTCTGGCACAGCTGTTCCTGAAAAAGAGCAGTTTCTGTCAGAGCTCTCTCAGCCCCACCTACCTCACAGGGTGTCTGTTGTGGGGAGGGGAAGGGAAAGAAGGAGAAGAGGAGATTGGATTTATACCCCGCCCTTCACTTGGAGTCTCAGAGTGGCTTACAAACTCCTTTCCCTTCCCCTCCCCACAACAGACACCCTGTGAGGTGGGTGGGGCTGAGAGAGCTCTTAACAGAAACTTCTCTTTTTCAAGGACAGCTGTGCCAGAGCTTGTGACTAACCCAAGGTCACATCAGCAGGTGCAAGTGGAGGAGTGGGGAATCAAACCCGGTTCTCCCAGATTAGAGTCTGCGCACTTAACCACTACTCCAAACTGGCTCTGGCGTTTGTAAGCCACTCTGAGACTCTTTCGGGTACTGAAGGGCGGGGTATGAATCCAATGTCTTCTTTTTCTTCCATTTTGTCATCACGACAACCCTGTGGGGTAGGTAAGGCCAACTCAAGGTCACCCATCAAGCTTTCATAGCACAACTGGGGATTCGAACCTGGGTCTTCCAGATCCTAGTCTGACACTCTGACACCACACTGGCTCTGAACTGTCTTAATAAAGGTGTCCTGCAGCTGTTCTTTTGGGATTTCCCCCACAAGATCCAGCAGCTTCCCACACAACTGTGACCTTACTGTCTGTAAAAAAGGCCACCTTGGGAATGTTCTGCTCAATAACACCTTAAAAGCAAAAGCATTACAAATCTGTCTGTTGTTCTACCTACTGAGTACCAACCTGTCCTTCAGGAAGGTCAGAACAGTATACATATTTCTCCCCTCCTCATTTTTATGAGGTTTATGTGAGTTAAAGTTAGGCTGAGAGAGAGCGTCTGGTCCAATGTCACCCAATGAGTTCCTAGTCTTCAAAAAGGTCTTGTCCAGGTAATCCGCAATGTGGCTCCTGTCAGTGTGTTTCTTTCTGACAGCCATTCACTTATCTCAAACCAATACCCAGCCCTCCAGTTTGTCTTCATCTCACTGAAGCAGGTAGTACTTCAGAAGAATCCAGGAGGAAGAAAACTTCCTTTTTGGGGGGCACCTGTTTTGAGTGGACTTCCTGTTCTCCTCAACCCTAGAGTTTTGTCCAAATCATACCGCCTAGCCCGTAGCTACAGTGGGGCAATTGGAGGCTCCACCCCCTTCCTTAAAGGGCCAGCCCCACAATATTTCCTTCTGATTTTTTATTTAAATTATTGTTTAAGCATTTTTAAAAGGCTGTAACTAACCTCACAAATGTCAGCTGGTGTGCGCTGCTGCAAAGGGCTATGTGTGATACCAGGAAAATCACTGCTGCTGATGGAGACTTGTGACTCCTCTTAGCATTTACACACGAGTTTTGGGTGTTCGAAACATGAGTTTTGGGAGTTTGGAACACGCTGTCAGCGTTAGCGTGGCAACTGTAGTATTACATGCACTGAGATCAGCAGGATTTACTTAAGAGCAAATTATGTAAAGTAAATAACTTCCAGTTCCTGGTCTTTAGCCCCACCAGCCAGAAAAGTTGTTGCCCCAAAGCCTCAAAATCCCAGCTACAGGGCTGCCTAGGGCATCGTCATGCTAGTGACCTGGTGTCACTTCTAGGTATTTGCTGGAAGTGACATCATGCTGCTGACATAATACCATTTAAAGAAATTTCCTCCTTCCGGGCTTCTGTGAGCTGGCAGGCAACATAAAGTGGGAATCCTGATCTCCCTAGACCCCACCTGAAGGTTGGCAACTCTGGGTGGTTGTGCAGGAAATCATAGAGAATTCATCTTTAATTTTAAAGCTCTCTTTGATCTTTCATGATACTCCAGGTGACTTACAACATAAAGTAAGTGGTTCAGCATAGAGAAGAAAACTGAAAAACATACAGATTTACCATAATTTCCATATATGTTTATGTACAAAACAGTTGTGACCCAAAATTAAAAGTCAAAAGTACAATACAATTCTCAGATTTGTACACAGACAGACTCTTGACAAACTTTTCAGAACAAGGTTTCCCCTGAAATCTGCATTTCTATATCATAAACAAACCAAAATTTGTTGTTGAGGAGCACAAACTCTGGTTTATTTGGTGGTTCGCAACCTTCCTCTCTCCTCTGTCTCTTGCCATATATGCCAAGAGTGAAGCCCTCCTGGTTTCATCTAAATCCGATTTGTTGTGACATTAGAGTTGCCAGGTCCAGGTTGGAAAATACCTGGAGACTTTGGGGGTGGATCCAGGAGAGGGTGGGGTTTGGGGATGGGAGGGGCCTCAGCATGGTACAATCCCATAGAGTCCACCCTTCAAAGCAGCCATTTTCTCCAGGGAAACTGATCCCTGTCAGTTGAAGATCAGTTGTAAAAGCGGGAGATCCCCAGGCCTCACCTGGAAGCTGGCAACCCTATGTGACATTGGAATACAGGCACCTCAACACCTATGAGGTTGTTTTTTCCACAAAAATTGGATATTAAACCTTGGTTAAATCCTGTTTCCAGATCTTGGTTACTATGAAAGAAATGAGCCCAATCTCTTTATGCACCCACATTCAGACATCACAACAAACTGGAGTAAGATTGAAGACTTTCCAAACCAGGATGCTTTTCTTCATGGCAGGGTGTGTGAGGAGACGTGGAAGGGAATGTGTAAGGCCAAAAAGAGAACCAGTGTGATCATGTAGCTGAATATTTTAATGCTTATTTTTAATTAATATCCGACTTTTCTCCTTCATCAGAGCTTAAAGCAGCTTACCGCCTGGCTCTCCCACACTATCTTCACAACAACAACCCTGTGAGGTAGGATAGACTGAGAGACTGACGGGCGCATGGTCACCCAGTGACTTTCTATGAGAGAGTGGGGATTCAAACTCAGGTTGTCCCAGGTCATAATTTGACAATCCAACCACAATACCATGCCAGCTCTCATGTAGTGATTAGAGTGTTGGACTAGGACCTTGGCGATCCAAATTCAAATCCCTGCTTGTCATGAAACTTACTGGGATGACCTTGGGCCCCTCAGCCTCTCTCAGCCTCACCTACTTCTTTAGCTTGGGGCTCTTTGGCTTGGAGAAACGACGGCTGAGGAGGTGACATGATTGAGATTATGCATGGGGTAGAGCAGGTAGAGAAAGAGGTACTTTTCTCCCTTTCTCACAATACAAGACCTCGTGGGCACTCAATGAAATTGCTGAGCAGTTGGGTTAGAACGGATAAAAGGAAGTACTTCTTCACCCAAAGAGTGATTAACACGTGGAATTCACTGCCGCAGGAGGTGGCGGCGGCTACAAGCATGGACGGCTTCAAGAGGGAATTAGATAAACATATGGAGCAGAGGGCCATCGGTGGCTATTAGCCACAAGGGATAGATAGGGACTCTCAGGCTGGGGCAAGTGATGCTCTGTCATCTTGGTGCTTGGGGGGGGGGGGACAACAGTGGGAGGGCTTCTAGTGTCCTGGCCCCACTGATGGACCTCCTGATGGCACCTGGTATTTTTGGCCACTGTGTGACAGAGTGTTGGACTGGATGGGCCATTGGCCTGATCCAACATTGGCTTCTCTGATGTTCTTATGTTTACCTCACAGTGTCATTGTGAGGATAAAGTAGAGGGAGGACAGGAGAACAACGCCTGTTGCTCTGAGCTCCACTGATGAAGGAAAGGATAAAAACGCACTCAACGAAAAACAGCTAGTTCTGCTTCTGAGGCTACTGGATGCCCCATTCCTTCTTTCCAGCGGCAACTGATGCTATTACGAACTATTACATGTTTGAATTTGGGAGGCTTCCGAAAGCAGTTATCATGGCATTTGCTGTTGTTGCACAACAACACTACCACAGAGCATTATCATATATTATTGTCATACATTTTTGTTCCACCAACTCCTTGCCATGCTTTCCACCCAAAAAAGGAATGGATGAACGTAAGGCTGGATTTATTATAGAGAGGATAAGTGGCCAATAGTTGGGACCGGATGTGTTTGAAGATCTGATTGTGCGGATGTGTGTGGAGATGGTGAAGAATGGATGTGGGTATTATAATCAGGTCCTGAGGACTTCCTGGGAAAGCATGACCTCTGACCTGGAAGCTTTCCCCCTGCTCACCATAGTTACTAGGAGTGAATGCCAGTTAGTATGACTCTCAGCCTAACCTACTTCACAGGGTTGTCATGAGGATAAAATGGAGGAGAAGGGAATGAATGCAAGCTACTTTGGGTCCCCATTGTGGAGAAAAGTGGGCTATAAATGAAATAAATAAATAAATTTACACTGTTTGCTGGGCAACAGTACAAGGACTTTGAAGCACGCTCAATGGGTGTTTTCTGTCTCCCTGACTCACATGTGCCCTTTTCTCCTCATGACTGAGGTACATGGTTAGAAGCAGGTGGCTGCCTTCCCCTGAATGCCGTTTTCTCTGCCTTAAAGCACCCCATAGAGCCGCTATTGGCTCCACTGCAAAACTTTCACACAGCCTCATAAGTAATGTGATTTCACAAACAGAAGTCAGAAGCAGCTCCACCGGATGCTGTAAGGAGGAGAAAATAGTGCGGAGGGGAAGGCAGCTACCGATTCAGCCTACATGCCCTGGATGTGAGGAGGAAAAAGGCTTGTGTGAGTTGAGTCTGGGAGGCACAAAACTCCCACTGAAAGGCACTTCGCCCTGACCTGGATAGCCCAGGCCAGCCTGATCTCGGAAGCTAAGCAGGGCCGGCCCTGGAAAGTATTTGGATGGAAGACCTCCAGAGAATACCAGGGTAAGCCACTTCTCCGAACATCCTCCATGCCCTAGTAGGAGTCGCCAGAGGTCGCCATGACTTTCAGGCACGGGCACACACACACACAACAATACACACACAAAAAGTCTGCTTCAAAGCTCTCTCACATCATCACCTGACACAAGTGTGAGGGCTCTGTAATGTGTAAAGAGGCCATCTGGATTTGGGAAAGCCAGTTTCAAATTCCAGTTCTGCCATGGAAGTACACTGGGTGACCTTGGGCCAGTCACTGTCTCTCAACTGAATTTTCCTCACAGGGTTATTGTGAGAATAAAAATGGGGGGAAGGGTGAAAGAACCATATATGTCATCCTGACATCTTTTGGAGGGTGAGATAGCAGTGGGGATCCTGGAAGGGGATGCTGCATTCCCTTCTCCATTTTTAGGCCCAAGCCTGAAGAAAAGGGTGAGCAGTAGGCCCAGGGCCGGTCCTACCAATAGGCCAACCTAGGCGACTGCCTAGAGCGCAGAGAACAGAGGGGTGCAGAACTGATGCTGTAGTGAAAGGCGCCACAGCAACATGTCCTTCGGTGCCCCCAGCTCAGGAGCAGCTCGCCTTCCCCGCCACGGCGGTGGTGAGTGCTGCAGCCACCGCCGAGCTCTGCCAGACGCCACATCTCTCAAAGCACTGTCTCCTGGTCCTGCCCAGCTGCAGGCTACCCCCCATGCTCCGCCACTGCCACGTCCCTGTCAGCAAGGGAGAGTGCACACTGCTGGGCGGCTCTCTCCTGGCTAGGCGAGCTCTCTCTCTCTCGCTCCTGATCTCTTTTGGCTGCCTGCCACTCTGTGCCGGTTGCACGTGGGGTGGGGTGGTGCCACCGCTGCCCGAAGCAATAGCAAGCAGAGAGAGGGCGGCTGCCTTTCTGGGGACTCCGGCGTGGCCACTTGCTCCCCCAACACACAGCATCAGCTGGCTGAAGCCTCTCCTCATGCCTGTATTTTGCCATTCGGGTTGCCTGACATCAGCTCTCACTTCCCAATATAGGACCTCTCCCCTTTCCCACCTTTCAGCTTCCCCACTTGCTGCCTATAATTTGGTGGGACTGTGGCAAACTCAAACGCAGCCCAACATTTTGTGTGCGATTTCTTACTATGCCTTATTTTGTTTAGGTTTTTACCCCTACACACACACACACTTTTTAGCAAGTCACATCTTTCAGCAAATCGGGGGGGTGGGGTGGGGTTTCATCACATGGCTAAATTATAACTGCAGCGAGTCCTGGGATGTTATTTTTTAAATATGTATGGAAGCCAGCACATATCTATTCAAGCATATACACATCTCTCAAAGCAGGCTCCATTTGGGTTTTCTGCCTCAGGTGTCCTGCATTTTCAGCTCTCCGTTCTGTACATTCTTAAAAAGCCCTCTTCTTATCATGAACATTCATATACCATCTCTAGAAAGCTGTGGTCCAATTAAATCCTTGACGGCTGGATTTATTTTTACTTGTCTTATGCCTCACTTTTATCCCCATTGGGAACCCCAAATGGTTTATAACATCAGTTTCTCCTCCCCCACTTTATCCTCACAACAACAACCCAGTGAGGTTGGTCTGACTGACAGAGAGAATGACTGGCCCAAGGTCACCCCAAAAGAAGAAGAGGTTGGATTTATACCCTGCCCTTCACTACCTGAAGGAGTCTCAGAGTGGCTTACAGTCTCTTTCCCTTCTCCTCCCCACAACAGACACCCTGTGAGGTAGGTGGGGCTGAAAGAGCTCTGAAAGGACTGCCCTTGAGAGAACAGCTCTGAAAGAACTTGTGATTGACCAGAGGTCACATCAGCAGCTGCATGTGAAGGAGTGGGGAATCAAACCTGGTTCTCCCAGGCTGGAGCCTGCGCTCTTAACCACTACACCAAACAGGCTCTCAAAAGCTTCTATGGCAGATCGAGGATTTGAACCTAGAACTTAATCCGACACTTTAACCACTATGCCATACTATTACCACACTTGCGTGGATGAGTCATGGCTGGACACAGAAAGAATATGGGGGTTTTTTTGGGGGGGGGAACTCACAGTCGGATGGCAGCTCTCAGCTGCAGCCGCTCTGGGTCGTTGCTCTGGGTCATACGAAACATGATGCCGTCAGCAGTGGTGAAGGTCTCCAGAGAAGAGGGAGATGACGAAGCTGCCGCTATGAAGAACCATGTGCCACAGTACTGCAAAGGGAATCGGCAGTCAGTCAGTCATTGGCCATTCAGAGCCAAGAGACAGGATTCGGGAGTGAGGTGATTTGCAGCTGAGAAGTGTTGCCGAAGGGTTTCTAGTTGTTTCCAGGCCTGATACGTTTTCACTGAAGTACCTGGAACACCATAGGATGTAAGGTTGCCAGCCTCCAGACGGCAGCTGGAGACCTGAGATTACCACTGATATCCAGGCTACAGAGATCAGTTCCCCTGGAGAAAACAGCTGCTTTGGAAGGTGGAATCTATGGTATCATACACCATTGAAGTCCCCCCCTCCCCAACCACCCTTCCCCAACCACCCCTCCTCAGGCTCTGCCCCCAAAATATCCAGGTCTTTCCCAGCCTGGAGCTGGCAGCCCTAATAATTTGGGTGGAAATGGGTGGGGAGGAATAGCAGGAGAAAAGCAGCGGGTGGGGGAAAGCACTAATCACATCCTCCCCCTACCTCTTCTCTGCTGAACGCTCTT